GCCTTTCTGTCTCTGAACGTCTTCTGCAAGTGGGGTCTGTGACTCTCTCACATACGTGGGCTTCCCATGCATATGTACATGTTAAATTTGGTTAATTTTCTCTTGCTAATCTATTTGGCTATTAGACCAGTCAGAAAAACCTTGAGGATAGAGGAACATTTAAATATTCCTCCCACACACAAGCAATGTTGCTGTGACCATCCCTATACATATTTTTGTGTTTATATGTAATTATTTCTACAGGATGGAGTCCTAGAAAATCCAAGTGCTGGTTTGAAGGGTATATGCATTCATAGCAGACTGGAGGGGGGAAAATGTAGAGAAGCCTTTGGACCACTCATACCTCATTGTAGGGACTCCCCCTTGCACTCTGTTTCAGGGGTGCTGTGGAAAATAGTTTTCTTTAACAATGTGAATTTCTAAACATGAAGATATAAAGTAGGAAATTCTTTGAGCATAGGTTTGTGTACATTTTGCCTAGTAATCCCACTTTTAGAGATCTATTTTATAACATACCTATGAAGTGAGAGTATAGCTCTATCTGTAAACCACTTAAGAAGAGAGACAAAGATGTCGGCTAAAAGTGTTAGGTGTAACAGCGGGCTGAATAAAGTTATCTGTAGAGCGTTGACAGAATCACCATGGTACTGGAGGAGAAAGTAGGAGAGCATTCCCACAGACAGAAGAGGAGAGTGGGACCTCTCCCTTTTCTCTTCAGAGTGGGGCCCATCAGCTTGGGCAGAAGTCCAGGCTTCCAGCACCTCTCAAGACTGATCAAGAGAATGAGCAAGCTACTACTGAAATGGGTTTCATAGACTGCCCCAACACAACTCCAGAAGCCCTACCATTGTGCGTGCACGTGTGTGTGTGTGTGTGTGTGTGTGTGCGTTTTCTGTACTGGAGTTGGTAAGAGCTCCTGTTTTTTCCTTCTCTGTACTCTTTCCTATCTTGCTTGTTAGCTTGAGGTTAAACAGTCTTCAAAGGAGGAAAGTTAAAGAAACTTAATTAGGATTCTGAAATTCAAACCCAAAAAGACATTGTAAACTTGGTAGCAATCATCAAATTGTTTTCTAAAAAGGAAATACCACTTTTCACTTTCCTGAATAGTTTCCCTGACACCTTTAACAAAACTCATTAATCTTAGTTTTTGCCAATCTGGTTTATTGTTTACATTTTCTTAAATACTGTTATAAAAAGATGCTAAAATCTTTGCATGTTTGTGGACAATATGTATTTCTTCTGTGAGTTGCTTGCTTTATGGCCTGTGTCCTATTTCAAAATGAATTTTCTTTTTTTAAAAACTTATTATTTTTTAATCCTCATTGTAGGATATGTGTATTGATATTTTTTTTTAAGAGAGAGGAAGGGAGGGAAGAGGGAGAGAAAGGGGGGTAGGGAGGGAGAGAGAGAGAGAGAGAAACATTGACTGGTTGACTCCCATACTCACCCCTACTGGGGATCTAACCCCAAACCTAGGCATATGCCCCTACTGGGAATTGAACTTGTGACCTACTGGTGCAGGGGTTAATGCTCCAACCCACTGATCCACACAGACAGGGCAGATTGTCAGGTTTTTGTTTCTGTTTTTAACTGGTATATAGGAATTCTTTATATATTCTGATATTAACCCTTTTAAATAATAGCTTCAATTGTTTTCTGTCATTTGTCTTAATTATGGCTTCCAGCATATAGATGTTTTACACTTTCACGTTCTTAGGACATGCTGACCCCTAGTCCCACCCTCCCACCGCCCCGCACCTTCCACCTGTAGGAGACTAAATGCAGTCCCTGAGGCTGGGCTACTGAGACCTCTGAAACCCTGACAGAACAAGTAGAATACGGAGACACTATCATTTATGAAGTTGCATATAAGCTTTCTAGGAAACCTGAATTCCTCTTTCATGCACTCACAATTTGGTACTGGGGAAATCAACTGGATGGTTATTTACATATGCAAATATAAAGCTGAGATTCTGTTCTGAAATGGTGATGTTGGAGAAGTTACAGCTCTTTGAAAGAACTAAACTGCCTTCTACTAAAGCAATAGTTTTCCTACACTCTAGGCAAAGTCATAGCTCTCAGTTAGGATTTAGACAACTTAGGCACTGTGGCTTTTTCTTTTTGAGATGAGCCTACTCTTGAAACAATTGGTTACAGGACATAAAACCCAAAGACAGCTAGAAGATGAGCCGGCAGGATCTTCACCTGGGAGTGCGGGAACGATTCTACGTAAAGAGGATTAGCTCAGCCAAGCTCAGTCTTGAGCCAGATATTGTTTAAAAGGGAAAAGCCCAAGCCTTAAGAAATGTGAAACAATAACAACAACGATAAAACTTCTTTTTACTGACTTACAGGGGGATATTGTAAGAAAGTGACCTTTCATCATTTTGTGGGTGTGTCCAGTCCTGGGGTCCACCTACTATGATCTGATGTGACTGTCCTGCTGAGGGCACGTCCCCGCAAATAGGCCCCCTTGCATGACACAGACAGTCCTGCGCCTTTCATGTCAAGAAAGCTGTACTTGGAATTTAAAAGACAGGCCCTATGTTGGGGGTGAGGAAGAAATATTACTTTCTTCCACCTTATGCTAGATATTGAATCTACAGGTGCTGAACTGCAACCCAGGGTGGTATGGGGAACCTGGCTTTTACCTGTCCCCACATGCACAGAGGCCACATCCCGCCGAACAATGTCATTTAATTTAAAGAGACAGAAGCATCCATAACTGAAAAACATGCATAGCAAATAGAGTCAGCCCTATATGTACACTGCCTAAATACCATGACTTCAGGGGTCTTTAAAAGATGCTGCATGTTCCAAGAGCTCTCTACTGCCTGGCCCTTATCCTCACACCTTATTAGAATAAATCTTCTATACATGGGCTGAGTTAGATGGAATTACATTGTAAAAAATATTTTCCACAAAACAACCAGAGGGATAAAAACCTATAATCCCATCACCCAGTTTAATTCTTTGACACCTTCCAAAGGAATTCAAAATGTTTACATAGTCATGATCGTGTGCCCATACAATAACGTGTCCTGAATTTTAGAAAAGTTATGTTACACAGGTCGAAAGCCCCAGCCCTCGATGGTCACAGTGGTGAGATATCCTGAAAAGACAACTGGTTGTGGTCCCAGGCACTTTCATTTGACTTGTAGCTCCGATATAGGTGGTATGACCTTGGACACATTACTTCATGAACACATTACTTCCTTACTCTATTTCTTTATTCTAAGATGAGATTTTCCTGGCTTGTAGGATGGTATGATGCACACAGGGTACCTGGCTCATGGTGGACAATGACTGGTTGTTAATACTCTTGCCTTCTGAATTGATTGTTTTTGTGACAAGCCCTGGCCAAGAATTCTATATTTCATCCTCTATTCTTAACCCTAACAACCCTGAACATAAGTTGTATTATCTCACTTTACGAGACAAAAAGGAAGTACACTGGGGTTAGGAAACGTGCCCAAGGTTGCACAGCAGAACAGTGGAGGCGGTGGATTTTGAACTCAGCTGGGTGGCTGTTGGGGAACAGCCCCTTCTTGGCCACTACTGACCCTAAAGAAGCACAAATGTCAAGTAAGGAGAGACGGAAGACATCTTCATCTTCTGTCTGCACATGACTTTGCAGATCCTAAAGTCCTAGGAAGTCTAGAGGGATGAGGTATAACACTGGTTTAATCATGAAGATGATCAACAAGAGAAGGACAATAAGGAACTCAGTAGAAACTAAAAGAGCAAAGTAACCTTAAGAAAAATTGGCCCAGATGGACAAAGTCTTTAAACACTTTTCAGTACCCTGATGTCTCAAGAGCCGCCTTTAAAATGACAAAACCTGGCCGTGGCTGGCATGGCTCAGCTGGCCTGTGGACCATAGGGTCGCAAGTTCGAATCCCCGTTGGAAACATGCCTGGGTTGTGGACCAGGCCCCCAGTAGGGGGTGCGCCAGAGGCAACTACACACTGATGTTTCTCTCCCTTTCCCTCCCTTCCCCTCTCTCTAAAAATAAATAAATACAATCTTTAAAGTGACAAAATCTGTGCGTGTTACTGCAAAGTCAATTTTGAGAAAAGGAATTTTCTGAACCCTCCCAGGGTGTTTGTTTTCGATTAGTAAAACAGGGACAAAAACAAGTGCTGCCTCCTAGGACTGTTGTTAAAACTAAGACAAATACCGTAAGGTCCATCACAGAAGGACTTTGTTTCAGTGCATGACACAGTGTCTGCTTTGGATTACACCCAAGTCTGTGGCTCTTCTCTCTAGGGTCATTTGATGGCATGTGATTATGATGCACAGTCCAAAGACTGGAGTTAATCATTGAATGTTGTTAGACAATGTATTATTTCACAGACACTGAAATTTAAAAAGTATTCAGAGCCATCCAAGTATAAGGACATTATATGCTTTTCTCAAGGGAGAGCTACTTGTTAAAATGCGAGTCCCACATTCTTCTTAAAAATAACATCTCCAAAAGAATAAGCATGCACAGGTTTGCCCTTAAAGGACAGAGGCCAGTAATTTCAGAGCTCTCTGAACACCTTTCCCTTCTTGCTAGGAACCAAACCGAACGCTCCGCCCTGTGTTACAGACGGTGCACCACGCAACTGCGTTTACTTCTGCCACTTGTCAGTTGGCGAGGAAGGGAAGTACCCGAGCAGTCCCTCACCTTTGTCCAGGCAGTTTTCCAAACACACAAGGACAGTATGGGAGTATTTTCTCGGCTGTGGAAATCGATCCTCATACCCTATCCTGAAGCCACCCGCCGCTTTACCCAGCCTTCTCTTCGTGGTGGTTTTCCTGTCCAGGACGTCCTGCGAGGGCGCGCAGCTGGTGTCTGTCGAGCCCAAAAGGTAGGGGGATCCGCTACGCTCCTGCCTCGCAGCTGCTCGGGGGACCTGGAGCCCCAGAACCTCCCTCTCCGCATTGCACCTTCCTCTGCGAATTTAGGGGCGGCCGTGGCCACCGCCCACATGGCGCCAGCCACCGAGCAGGAGGAGCTTCCCCGCGGCTCCGGAGGCGCTCCGCGCAGTCGCCGGGGACTGGACCAGGGCGCGGCGGGCTGCGCGCGAGCTGGCGGCGCCCGGGACTGCGGGAGGCACTGCGCCCTCCCTTGTTCCCCGGCCAGGTCTGGGGGATCGAATCGTGCCCGCGCCGCCCCTGACCCACGCCACCTTCCTCCGGTTTCTGCCGGCCGCGGGCTTCGGCGGCCCGATGCTGCAGGAGCCGCGGCAGAGGCAGCAGCCGGCTTGGAGAGAACGTCGGCGGCAGGCGGAGCTCAGGGGGCTCCAGCCGCGAAACCCGGCAGGCTCCTGCGGTCTTCGCGCCTGGGCCTCAGCGGGTAATTCTCCCTGGCTGGTTCGCGGCGGTTTTGCACTACAGAGTGAGGGTGGTTAGGGGTGCTGGGAGACCGAGCTCCCGGCAAGGATCGCGGCGGCCTGGGTCTGTGGTGCCGAGATTCTCGGGCTTTGCAGCCTCTGGAGCTGGTCTGACTGTCCTTGCGCGCACCCTCCCAGCCCTGGCTCGTGGCGTGTGTCCGTCGCCCCTAGCCTGGGTTTCGGGGCTGGGAGGCACCGGCGGGGCGCTCGGAAGCCCAGCCAGCCCAGGAAGGGCGGGAGAGACGAGGAGCCCGAGGGCGCGGGGAGCCGAGAGGACCCTGCTGCGGGACCCTGTTCTCTGATCGCAGGGGAGCTTGGGCGCTCGAGCAGTAATGGGTTCCTCGCTCACTACGGTTTTCTTATACAAGGATCTGTACACGAGAAGGGGTGAGAGCAAGTTTCTTGTCTTTGACCTTAGACAAAAATTTACGAGAAATCCTTGTTCCCGCCACAGGAGAACTAGACCTAACAAAGCGAGCCCCGAGGCAGTGAGAAAATTGTAGCGTTTCGGGAGTTAGTTTTGAAGATAAGGGAGAAAGAAAAACTTGTCATTTTGAGGCTGACGTCTCAGCCCCGTTCCTTGTGTGCTGTTATTTTCGCCTTAAAGAAAAAATGTAAAAAGTGATTTCCAGAAACTACAAACAAACCCAAAGGTCGTCTTTCGTGATCTTCAGTAGAAAGGGCCAGGAGAGAGGTTGTGGGCGGGCGCTTGGCGTTTGTTTGCTCTTCAAAGGCAATATTTTAAAAACTATGTGGGAGTGGGGATGAGAAGAATATCGTGAATACCACGGTATCAGAAACCACACAAAGCCGCAGGTTCTAAACTCGAAGTCACACGTGCTTTAAGAGGTACATCCCTGAGTGTTATGATTACGTGATTAGTTACAGTTCAGGAAAGTGGAGATCGGCCAGAAGCTTTTCGCCATCTGTGGCCCTAAGACCTCCTGTCCACACTGGTCTCCATGGTCCCTCAATGTTGCAGGCCCGGGTATTTGACTTAACTGGTGTTCACATTTCCTCTCCCGGCTGCAGACCAGGAAACTATCTTTTTATTTATGTTGGACGTGTTAAATATTTGGGACGATCGGGTCAGGTTGCTAAGATTGCTGATGCGACATTTGTAAATTGGTTTGTGAGAATGCCTTTTCCTGTCGCCGAAGACTTCTTTTCATACTCAGTTCCGCAAAAGAGACACTTTTAGATTGTTATATTGTTTGTTGTCTCTGAATAAGGAAACCATTTTTGGTTTATAAGTAGAGAAGTTTTCTAGAAACTCTTTGTATTACCCGGTTCTGGCTTCATAAACTGTCCTTGGTCATTCAAGGGGAACCAGAGAGGAGGTCTTCATATATCTGGTGGGGTTTCACGGAGAGATATTTTTACCATAGTTGCTGAATGTCAGAGTCCCAGATTGTCCCACGTTTCCTTACAATGGTAAGGAAACTACTATTAAGACTACTATTTTGACTCTATTTCGGTAGCCTTTTTTTTTTTTTTTTGAAATAGTCCGTTTGTTCTTATACCTTTGAATGAAAAGGGGCCTGCATGGCAGCCTTACAAACTCGGAGACACAAGTAACCACATAGGACAGTCTGAAATTAAAATGGTCTAACTGAAAGTAGTTCAGGGCAGGTCATCGTGTCCGAGGGCGTGTTTTTCCCTGCCAGAGGTCAGTCTTCACCTTAACTGAGACTGATTAACATAACTTTGAAAGAACAACCAAGCACCAGACCAGAGACCAAGAATCCTCTCGTTGTTATTACTGTCATATTAATTGGTGACTGTTAATTATCCTATTCCTACGTATGGAAGTATGTGTCTATTCATTTTACCTTTTATCCAATCCCAGAGATTTCCCCGACTTACTTTCCCCCAATCTATCACCAGCAGATTTCATGACCCCCTTACACCTCTTTTGATTGTAATCTATAAAACAAGGTACCATTTTCTGGAGCATTTCCTCAGTCTGTTGAGATTTTGCTTTCCCGGCAATTGTCATCAGTTTGGCTCAAATAAACTCAAATATTCTTACAGGTTTGGGCATTTCTTACATTGACATACCCCAAATCAATAAAAAATCTTTGAGGCTCAGAAGGGAACAGATACTATTGACAGAATAATGCCATCAAGAGACATACCATTAAAAAACATCCATCTTGTCTTACGTGAAAACTGGAATTCTCAAGTTTTCTCATTCCAGAACTTAGTGGCAGCTGTTTTCTTCTGTTGGAGATATTTGTGTGTTCCACATCGTGTGGCACATTATGGGAGAAAAATGAAATAATGCTATTTTCCATATTTCACTGATTAGCATCATTTGCTAACCATACAGATTACCCTTTAACTTCCATGGAAATGGATTCCACCCAAGGTTGGATATCAGAGCTATGTTTAACATGCGTTCTAGGCTATGCTCATTAGGGAGGTGAAGAAAGCACGAAAGTCATGTGGCACCCACTGTGATCCCCAGTGTGTTCACATATGCTGTTTTATTAAATCTTCCTGACAAAACTATGAGACAGGAATGTTTAGTCCCATTTTATAGTAAAACAAAACAAAACAAAACAAAACAAAAACAATAGAGACTGCTCTAGATTAAGTGACTCAGGATGGATCACACCAAGGTCTGCTTCATCTCTGTCCTATACAATTCCAGGAAGCCCCCATGGTATACATTGCTCAAAAATTCTTTCGTCCTCTGTGCATATCTTTCTCCTTTGTCTTGCACACTCAACTTCTATATCCCCTGATCTGAGTATACCTTCCTGATTACATGTTTGGCTGGGCTTGTTGAACAGGCAGTCTGCATACTTTGCATTTCCTTCAGATAGCTTCAGACTTTCACCCATTAGATGTTTTCTGTCTTCTCCATATTTTTGACACGTCACTGAAGCGTGCCGTGCCTTGACAAACTCAGGACGTTATGTCATCTCCAATGGCTTATGTTCCCAAAAGTTTTTTCATTCTGAATATAATTCCACTGAAGTTCCTACTTACTCTTCTTGTCTAGAAGAAGTCTTCCCAGGGCTACGTCCTCACTCTCACAATTAAAATTAACCTCTCCTGTTTATCCCAACTACAGAGGATAACAGTACACATCACAATTTCCAAGTGAAACCTTATAGGCTAAAAATAAAAAGGTGCTTGATTTGGAGCAAGCTTGATGTGTAGAGTAGAATGAATGCATTAGACATTGGAGGGCTGCAGTAGGAAGCTCTTTGTGGTTCCATATGAGGGTGTCAGAAGCACAGTTCTTAATCGTGGGAATCAGTCGTGTCTCAGACTTGGTCTGAGCCCTGGCTGCCATGCGGGTGGGATAAAAAGGGATGAGATTCGGGGAGTGACGTCGTGAGGGTAGAAAAGAGTAGGGAGAAGTAGGATCTGAGTTTCTTCCCCCATGTTCATGGTTTTTTTTTATTGGAGAGCTTTTGGCTATTCAGAGGGGAGTGGCCAGTTTACTGTTTACAGCCACAGCCTTCTGTATCTGGCCAGGGGCTTTCCCTTCCTGGACCACTGGGCCCCTGGACCATTGGGAAAGAAGGGAAGGAGAGCAGCCAACCTGTAGGGGATCTTTTTGTCATAAACACTGGAAAGCTGAGTGAAAATGTTCTCTTCTCTGTTCTCTCCTCCCCCTTACATCTCAGACTCAGTGTGCAATCGGCATCATTTTATTCAGTAGCGTGTAGTGATGGTCTTTGAAGGGTTCTTTAAACAATGACTTTCTATGAAGGAAAGATCTGTAGAAGATGAGGAGAATAAGGACTCCAGACAGAGAGGTGGCAGGGAAGCTAGAGATTCTTCCAAGGGAAGGAGGGTCACACTTGCTTTCCACAGGTTGTAGAAACAGGTGCAGAGCTGGTATGGCTGTGGGTCACAGTCACTGTGCTGGGAAATGGGGGTGGCAAGGGAGTAGAGAGTGGTTTTTCAGTGGATCACAGGTGACTTTCTGCATGGTCATCCATAAGGTGGGACTTGAGATTCAACCAATATTTACTGAATATCTCCCAGGTAATAGTAATAGGAGATGTTCTTTGTGCTGGTGGTGGGATAGGGTGTGCATTGTTAAACAATACAAAGCCTCTGTTCTTACGGAGCTTCTGTTTTTGTGGAAAATGGAGTCACTAAACAAGATGCAAATAAATGAAAAACATCTTTCAGATAGAATGAGTGTTATAAAGACAACACAACCTGGGGTTTGCTAGAGAGGGGATGGGGGAAGCTACTTTAGAGCAACCAGAAAGCTTCTCTGAGGAGGTGATACTTGTCTGAGAGGTGATTGGTGAGAAAGGAGCCAGTCAAGTGAAGAGCACAAGGAAGAACATTCTAGCAGAGGGAATAGCAACTGCCAAGTGCCAGAGGCATGAATGAATTTGGGGTGTTTGAAGAACTCGATGAAGAAGAGTGGATGGAGAAGAGTGCAAAAGGGGAAGAAGGAGGAGATGAATTGAGTGAGGTAGGAGGGAGAGAGCTTATGTGAAGCCTTCAAGTCTTAGAAAGGAGTTTGAATTGTGTTTTAATTAGAATGGGATGACACTGGGGATTTTTAATTAGAGACTTAATCTTTACAGAGTGGGCATGGGTTTTCCTATTTCTCTCTCCCTCCTTTCCTCCTTCCTTCCCTCCCTCCCTGCCCCCCACACATTTTCTGTCAGTTGGTTTTTCTTCTTCCCCCTTAATTGGCCATCACTGATTGCCCCTTCCTTGCTTTGGGCCTGGGCACAGACATATCCACACACAGAAGCAGACAGGCCTTAGAGGACCCTGCACAATGTTCCTTTTATCCTTTGAAATCCACATAGTCAGTTTTGCCTTCATGCATAAAACTCTTCATCACTAGTGCTGATATCTCACCCTCTCTCCAGACTGAATATCTGGTTGTCTCTAAGAAGATTCTGGGTTGGCTGGTGACATCTGAAACTAGATATTTAAAATGAAGTTAATTATTTAGTCAAATATATCACAA